TAAAGATTACTTTCTTTTAATCATCCTCTTTCAACAAGGATTTAAAGTTTAACAGTCACATGCAAGCAATGACGTCATTATTTTAAAAAATGTGTCATACATCTGTTATTGATCCAAATTTAACTTGTTAGTCAACCATGACGCAAACACAAACCCCTGAATATAACAACAAAACAATCGTAAGCCCTGAAATTACCAGCAGTACTAGTTGAAACCAGTAGAAAAGGAGTGTGAGTTACTGTGAGAATGTCACTGACTCACTCAAGTGTTGATTGAAGTGTTTAGTTGCCCTCTCTACACAATACAGACTACAGGATAAATGCAGTATAATTTTAATCAGACCATCTGCCCAAATGACTGCATTGTTTATTTGAGTTTAAAATGATTAGAAAAAAATTTGTAGAGTTTGCCAACATATTATCTATTTAGAGTACTGGACCAATATATACAAAAAAATGCAATATGTACCAACTCTCTCTAGACAGACTATAGTATAATTTTAAGGCCGATTCTAGCCGGAATAAGATACGCATGCGCAATGGAGAGAAACTACGACTTGCCTTAGCGGCGATGTTTTCGATGGTACTGCGCATGCGTGTGTTTACAACCGCAGAACCCTAATACCAACCCTAATCCTATCCTTAACCCTATCCCTAATCCTATCCCTAACCCTAGCCCTAATCCTAACCCTAATCCTATCCCTAACCCTACCCCTAACCCTCATTCTAGCCCTAACCCTAGCCATAGGTCACTGCGCATGCGCAGAGCTATCTTTTGCCGACTAAGTGGAGACGTTGGGGAGAAACATCTTCTTCCAAGTAGACACTTCGTAATTTTAATCAAACCATCTGCTCTTGGTTTTAAAAAGAGGAAAAAATTGCACCAAGATTTTTTTATAATTTATATTATGGTATTTTAAACAAACAAATGTAATATTGATCCTACTTCAAAAGTTTAATTACATCGGTTTTGTTTTTTTTAAATTATTCTCATAATGAGCAGCAAGTCTAATTTCCTACCAGTTGCTCAGAGGGTTTCTCTATGGTCCCAATTAAGAATCTAAGAGGTATATTATGGTATAGATAACAGCGCAGTGATTTAATTAGGTTATAACCGAAGTTATTGAGTGCAGTATTTTATCTTGGACACAAAGTTGAGTTCACCCTTAAACATTCCATACACACATTTAATTTTGAATTTTTGATATAATATAATTCATAAGGGCAAGTTAAGTAGAGTGACTTCTACTCCACTGGCCACATGAACCGTCACGTTCAAAAAGGAAACTTTAATTTTTTACTTTTATAATTCATATTAAACTTTAGACCAAAACATTAGAGATTACAAAATGTTTTTTTTTTATTTGTAATCAGCTCTGTGAATGCTTATTTTGAAAGAAAAAAACAAGTCTAGACTCTAGCTATTTTTTGCATTTTAACAACCATTGTACAAGTACCCAATTCTCATTTCTGTACAACAATTAAATGGTACAAAAATAATTATATAACAGGTCTACATTTAATAGATTCAGCAATGACTAATGCTAAGGGAGGTAACATTATAAATAGCTATGGTACATTTTTTTCTTGCCAAACAGAGTTGTGTTTTTTTTAAAATAATGAGTAATAATATATTAAAAATTACTACCAGTTTTCAATGCACTGAATATTATTTAGTTAATTATTATTTATAGACCAAGAAAAAATGTTCAAAATTTCATTATTATGGCTAAAGGAAAAGAAACTTTTAAACTAGCCAAGTTTGTTAATAATATGTGGACTGGAATTTAATGTGGACTATTGTTTAAAATTGGAATCTATAAAATATTCAGTGCCTATAGCTTTATTCTACAAATAAAGTTGTTATGCATTAATACCCCCCCCCCCCCAAAAAAGGTTGAGCATTTTAACAAGTAGCCTATAAATTATTAAGATTAATAGGTAGTAAATACAACAGTAAAGAGCCTAGCTGATTCTGTAAAATTATTCCCAGATGTCATTCTCTTATTCAAATAAATTTGCAACATATATAAGCACACTGAACTGAACTTGTATAGAAAAAAAATTAGGAAAATATTTGCATCATTTATATATTTTATGCAATATCTTAGTATTTATATTAACATGGAGCATTCTTTTTAAATTCCAAACTTTCTTCCTTCATTTCTGTTGAAGACATCTAAAAAATCCTAACACTAAAAAATAAAATGCTACTACTGGTAGCAATGGCCTAGAAAAAAACAAAACACCTAATTGTTTTCTTCCTTATCAAAATTCTCCAAGAGAGGTGTATGGCAGCACTTTAATTTGTTTATCGACTCCAAACAATTATTAGGGCAATCCAAAGGGTCATCCATAATGGTGATTTATTTCCTATCAGTCCCCAAGCCTCCTAAAATAATGTAGCACTTATAGCCCTGTTATTCACAAATTTATGAACCCACTCCCTCTCATACTGATGTCATCTATTGACAAAAAGTATGGGTAATAGCTACTAATATTTTGTTGAAGCATGCAATGATGTGATGTCACACTTTCTTAACCCCCTCCACACATTTAGATTATTGGATGATTGACACACAAAAATATAATATAAGCCCTCCCATCCCCCAAGCAGTCTTCTAATAACCTCATAGGCTTGAACTTAAAATCTGTAACTAAATTGCACATAAAATATAAACTGTCCTGGTTGTGTAGTTGGGCTAGTTAATACTGAGTTAACAAACTTAACATAAATAATATGCCTTAATTTATTTAAGTGCCTAACTTTAACTAAACAGACTCTTTAACTAAATTAAATTAGTCTAAAATCTAGGCCTAAATGGTTTAACCAGGCTTCTTAAGTTTAAATTTAATAGGCCTAATTTATTTCATACACATCTTGGCCTAAGCTTTTTTTTAATTAGCCTAATATTTTTAAGTAGACTAGTAGCAGTCATTAAGATCAGCCTACCTTATATTAATTTGACTAAGTACTTTGGTGACTAGAGTTAGATCTAGACTTCAGATGAAGTCAAAAATAGTGGATTGAAAATCCATAACTGTAACAACAGATTACAGTAGATCTAGATTTCTAGTACATGATTGGGGGGGGGGGGGGGATATCACCATTAGACCATACTATGTGACCATACACATTTATTTTTATTTCAGACCTATGACCTCACTATGATATATAAAACCGAGATTTTCATCAGTCCCATTTCTCAGTTATTATTCACACAGTCATCCTTCATCTTACTCAATTTCCCCCAATCTTCCAAGCAGAATAGAAAAAATAGAATGAAGAATTTTCAAGAATGAGATGAAAAGCAGCAGGCAGTGAGAGAAAAAAATTTAATGAAAACTTACAAGACATTAATTTGCCTTTAATCCTGACTGTCACAAAAAAATGAAATGAGATAATAAGTATATTTACATTATAACAGTTTAACCGTTCACGTTTAGTAAAAAGAAGTAGTGTTTATTAGTTTGGATATTATTAATTGGAAAGTCCCAACATGAAATCATTTACGCTCTGGCATACGCCATTTTAGACCTCAATATAAAATCAATCCTACTACTCTTTGTGCGTCAACAAAACAGAATCAAAGAAGCAGACTAAATAATTTTATAGCGTTAGTGGAAACAGAATGTAATATGGCTGCCGTATCCAATGTAAGCAAATTGGTGAAACCGATTAGGAATTACTGATAGATGTATTACCACTTTAAAATGAATCACCAATTGCTTAAACAATACGATTATTAAAATAAAATGCAGACAAAAAAGGACTTCTAAATTCTAAACAGTAGGCCTAACCAACAAACAAAGTGTGTGCTACACCTACTCACACGACTCACTTCACAACTTCACACTTTCGATTTCACTCATCATTAGTCATTAGTAGATCTTAGTTTAGTATCTTAGCTAGATCTAGTCGCTACTCCTGTGAGTGTGTAGTCGCAGTGTTACCACTGATTTACTAATACTAGATCTATACTCATTAACTTAGTATCTTACCCTTTCTTTTACAAATTTATTTAGGCCTAGTTAATTTACTGCACTTTTTTTTAAGTTATTATATAATTATAAATTAAATTATATTATATTAGCAACGGCATTGGCTGATTGGAATTTTGAGACAAATTTTTTGTCTTAGTCACCTATTATAATTAATATTTATTAATTTATAATTATCAAGTTAATTATTATTATTAATATTTATTAATAAATAATTAGCTATCATTAGGCCTATATATATAATATATATTATATAACCAGTGCCAGCTTTACTAACTTTACAATCTCTAGCAATTTATTCTAGTGTTGTCTTAGAGTACCTCTTGACTTGACTTTAGACTTTAGTCTAAAACTTTTAGCTTAATTTTATGAAATATTATGAAGAAGACACATGAATATAGATATAGATCTATATGGTGTAGTAGGATATATACTATTATTATACTGAAATTTATAAACAAGGGTGACAAATAAAACTTGACTTTATTCCAATACATTGAATTTTTTCATTAATAATAATAATAATGAATAATGCTAACGCCATAAACTTTTAGTCCTAATATTCTAAAATTATAGTTTATAGTTAGTTCACTCATAAACTGCCAGCCAATGGTTCCGGGGTCCTGAATGGACAGTGCAACAGAAGTTAACTGACTTGCCTAGAAGATACCAGGGTGGACACTCCCACTTTCAAGTTCCCTTCTATTATTTTTCACTTTGTCTAACACTAACTCTAGAGTAGAAGTATTTTTGCACAGTAATCTTTTGTAAATTATTTAACAGCTTTTGCAATTACGACAATTATGATGCCATGTAATAAAATGGTCTGAATATTAATTTGGGGAAAAAAAATTTCATACTGATGATACCAAATCTAACGTGTTAAAATAATATTTTTATATGAAAAAAAATTAAACCATTAAAATAAGATTAAATGAAAAATAAATTGTTTGTTTCTTATAGTGAATAAATGTGTTTTTTTTAATTTCAGACTTTTTTTTTGTTCAGCTCTTGCTGTATAAAACTATAACAATTCGTTTGGTTTAAGTAACACCATGGCACCAAATAATCATTTTGCAACTCTAGGACTCAGTGTTGGATCTGATGAAAATCAAATAAAGAAAGCATATAGAACTCTTGCTAAAAAATGGCATCCTGATAAAAACAGTGACCCTGGAGCTAAGGAAAAATTTCAGGAGATTGCAGCTTCGTATGAGTTTCTATCCAGCAAAGATAGAAGAGAAATTTTAGAAAGAGATTTGAAACGTGCTGCAACACAAGAGTCAGCACAAGCACAACCTAAACAGACCCAGTTTACTAAAGCAGCTCCTAAAGAAACAACAAGTTCTTCGGCAACAAAAAGTAAAAAAAAAACCAATGAGGCATCTTGGTCAGAAACTTTTACCAAAAACTACAGAAGCCAACAAAAAGAAAAGAAAAATCCAAGCTCAGGGACATTTTCTTTTACTGAAAGTCCAAGTTCAAATGGATCAAGTTTTTTCAATTTCGATGAGCAGCCAAAGAGACCTCAATACAAAGACATTTATGATGAGCTGTTTGATGATTTCTTTAGTCCTAGGAATTTTGGAGGTAATAAAAAAACAATTCACAACAGGATTTGGTTAAGTTTGCTTCATAGCCTGTGTTTGTTCTTAAAAGATTAAATAACAAGCAACAGGGAGCAGTTGTTCTGTTACCTAATAATGATACTGAGCGTAGAACCAAAAATTATTAATTTTTTATAAAAATGTGTCTAAAACATTTGTGTAAAATAAAATGAAATAAAAATTTAGCTTTGTAAAACTCAGCAGGATCAGATGGTCTTGGAGAAAAGGGAAGGAAAGCTGGGCACAAAAATGCCACACAGAGGAAGACTAAACACAACCCAGACAATGTAGCACCTGAGAGAGGAACGCCTGTAGGGCTGGATGAAGAGTATTTCTTTTCACCCAGGTACAAAAATCAGGGTAGGTGCTAAGTATGATATTGTTTTCTGAATGTAATATATATTTATTATACAAAGGTGATGAAAATGAGAAATTTTGTTGTAAAAATAAATATATTGAAAAACACTAAGAGGGATTCATTACATCTAGTGTTTCAATAGAATATGGCTTTTTATGATAGTTTTTCTATTTCAAAGAAGTTTTAATATGAAGTACCTATTTGATTTATTTATGCAACTTATATTTGAGCTTAAATTTGTTTAATGTTCTTGAAGTAGCCTATTTTTACTGACACTGCCAACATTGGTTTTTATTTCTTTGTCAGATGGCCATGTTGAGAAGATACCTTGCCCTTGGTGTAACCAGTTGTTTAACAGAGGAAAATTGGTAACTAAAATTTAAGCACATAATTCTGGTAAATCTCAAATCTATGTCTTTTATCCAGATTGGTGAGTGTCTAGAAATTACAGAAGGGTGAAAGTGGTATACGCCTGTAAACTAAAAACCCCATGAGAAACTATCAAAAGCAATCATGGTTAAATTATGTGGAGACAGATCTATGGCAGCCTGGAATTCAGATATGGAAATATGTGCTGTGTTTCACAAGCTATTAGCTATTATGATCCATTGAGTTGATGTAATTTACAGTCGTGAACATGATATTTTATTATCTTTTCTTTACACAAGCTGACCCACGGCGTACTATACGCCGCTATTTAGTTGTTTTATTTTCTACTTTTTAGTAATTCATAATTGTGAATTTGACACCTCCCCCCCCCCCCTTCCCCATGAAAGCAGCTGTCCGTGATAACAGTTTACAGATTAAGTAGAACTTGTTACCTCCCCTTAGTTTCAAATCGTTTAAAAAAATTATCTGCCCCTAATGGCAGTCACTAATATGACCCGGCTCTATGATTGTAAACATTTGACGTGAACCACGGCTTACCAGACTGGTGGGGGTGGGGGTGCTAGTGATATGGTCTGTTGCGCATGCCTGGAGAGTGAGGGAGGGGGTGGGTTGGCGTGCGTATGTGGTGGTGGTGTCCTGCATGGTCCCACGTATAGAATTTTATATATATATATATATATATATATATATATAAATATATATATATATAGATGAATGTTCAAGTTTTAAAACATAACAATATTAACATTTAGAATATACCAGATTTGTATTTATTTATTTTAATTCAATTAGGCTGAGCATGAAGAAAAATGTGGAAAATTTGGACTGAGTGCTGATGAAGATGACTCAGATGAGGATGAACCAATCAATGATTTGGCAATTTTCACAATGTTTAGTCAGCCACAGTTCTATAGCTCCATGCCAACCTGGCAACAGCAACAGAGTCAACTTAGGCAGGAAATTCAGAGAGATAAACTGAGATACAGAGAACAAATGGCCTCACAAGATACACAAAGTAGAGGTTTGTGAATCATAATTTTTTGTAAACAAATTATAATATTAGCTTTTTCAGTGTATTTCAAATGTGTATATGTTTTTAAACTCAAGTGAAAAAAATTGGCCACTAAATTGTGGTACATTAGTTATTAATTTACTGGCAGTGATTACAATATAAACATTCCTTAACTTTTGTATATGTACAACACAGATAGTGCTGAAAGCTTTTTTTTAATGGCTGGCCTAAGTTTTATTTTTAGTGGATTTAAATGTGTTAGGAAAACACAAACAAAAATAAACCAATATAAAATATTTTTTTCTTCTCCTAAAAAACAACTTTGTAATAAAAATCTAATTAAAATGATTATGACAATTACAAAATATTTCTTAGGTCTCATTAAGTGCCCATATTGTGAACGCAAATACAATGAATCTGTGGTTAGCTCACACATACCATGGTGCAAAGAATACATGAGTAAATATGGCATACCAACGAACTTAAGATCCTCACATAATGATCTTCATACAGACTTTAATGACTTAGAGAAAGGGAAGGTGGGCAGAAGGCATTCAGATGTTAGCTTCAACAGAGAAAGAGCAAGGGAGGTAAGTTTTTTTTTTAAATTTAAAACTATTCAATTTAACTGAAAATAAAATATTGAATTAAGAATAAATTTAAAACTTTAAACTAAATTTCAAAGGTCAGTTGTATTTATATGTTATGTACTTATACTTTAAGTATGCTAATGCTTTATTTTGTGGGCAATTATTACTTTAAACTGCAGCTTCTGTAACTAATATTTTATCAAGTAATTCAGCTTGAAACATCTTTAAAGTTTTCCACTTAAATATGTTTAAAACATAGATATCCACATAATATATTAAAATCAACTTTTTACCAAGTTTAGGCCAAGTATTGTATTATAAACCTAACCCTAGTTCATTTGTTCACATTTTTTATTAATGAAATAGGCCTACATAGCACAAAACAGTTTGTATGATATTTTGTTTTGATCTCTATCTCTCCAGTATGCTAAGCAAATCCCAAAACCAAAAGGATTTAAAGGTCAGTAGATTTCATGCTATACGATGCATGAAATTTGTCTCATGTGGTGAAAACTAACTACTATTGAAAAAACAGTGACAATGTTTAGTTTTTGAGTGGTTATTAAGGTAATTAATGTAATTCATCTCATTTTAGATCATGATTACACAGAAGATACACAAGGTGATACAGAAAAATTTCCATATTCCAGGTAAAATAAAAAACCTTTTTACCACTGAAATTTTTGAAGGCATTCCAATAATGAAATTAGAGCAATAATTTTTAAATGGAAGCCACATCCCATAAATGTTAATTAGTTAAATTTCTTTAAAATACATGTTGACTGTTATGTTTACTAAAAGTAAAATATATAAATATTTATTATACTAGATAAAGAGTATTAACCTTTTTTTTTATTCAGGCCAAAAATGACAAGTGGGTTAGGTGTAAAGGGACAGAAATTAAAACCTGAAAGCAAATAAAGGGAGACAAGACATTTAAAAAAAAAAAATTATTGTTGTCGTATTTGGGGGTCGTCCATAAATGATGTCACACTTGTAGGGGGAGAGTGAGGGTCCATAATTTTGTGACGGTGTGTGATGAGGGGGAGGGTGGGGGTTCAGATGGTGTGACATCACACTTTGGCGTTATTAAAAAACAATGTTAGAAAACGAATTCATGTTTTAGAAAATTGTTTTTATAAATAGTATAGGAATTGATAAAAAAAACTCTATATTAACAGAGTTAAGACAAGAGTTTAGAAAAATATTGTATTTTTTAAAAATTCAGCTGAAATTTTGGAAGGGGTTGTAGGCTGCAGTGTAACGTCACATTTTTGTGACGATGTGTGACGTAGAAGATTGGGGAGGTAAAAATCGTCAAAAAAGCATGACGTCATTTATGGATGACCCCTTTATGCAAATTGAATCTAGCTAGTGTCGCAACATTTGTTAGAATTAAACTTATTTCAGGTAAAATAAAATAATTAAAAAATACAATTATAATTTAATTATAGAGTAAAAAAGAATAAACCACATAAATTAGTCAAAAAATGTGTAAATTATGTATGCTTGAAATAATTGTTAAATGTTATGTAAAAGCTAATGTACATTGATGTATTGTTGATAGTCCAGTGCTGGTGAGTCAGAGTTTTGAAGTCAGGTGAATTCTAATGCACCTGAAAACACTATCATAGTGTTCAAAATCTACTGTGTATCACCCGCAAATGCTAATTTCATTTTTGCCTGATAAATGTCAAAATTTTCATCAAAAAACATTATTTTAAAAATAAACTATTCTTCATTTTAGGATTAATTAATTAAAATCCTGATTTTTTATAAATGGGAGTATAATTCTAAAAACAACATTTGAAACTTTTAAAATACAGATATGGTTTTAAATAAGTTAAATGTCTTGACATTTAGGTATGTAAGTTGTAGTATTTTGGCACACGGATGAACTATATTTGGCAACTAATTGTTTTTAATTATTTCAGTGCTTTTGCCATTATTTTGTTTTACTATGTTCAGATATACCAAAGTGTTTATGTTTAAATCTGTGATAAATTACTTTCTAAAACAATTTTACATATTTCTATTTATTGTATATTCTGCATTTTGTATATTGATAAAACAAAATAATAAACAATTTATATAAAAATCATGAATTTATTTCTTTTTTTGAAGGATAATTGCATATTTTTTACATTAACAATTATTACTTAACTAACAAAAAATTGCAGATCAGATTGATACTTTTAAATTTTAATCAATAAATTAGGCCTGTATTTACTATGTGTTCAAAATAGCTAATCTAAATATTTTCAAATATTGTACAAAATGTTTGCCTAAATAGTAATTTTTCAATAGAGATTTAAATCTTAGAATTAATACACTTATAAAATTAAACAGTACATATTTTTAAATATTTAAATGTTAGTACAAGGATAATAATATGACAATAAAGCATGATGATTCAATTAGTGAATACTTTTGGCTATTCTTCTACTCAATATTCTTTTCAATAAAGATGATTTGTAGTTCAACTAATTCTTGAAAATTGACATGTGAAGGGATTATGTGGTCTGTACATCCCCAGCCACCTTTACTTTCCTCAACTTGATTCAGAGGAATGACAACCCCGATATCCCCTATGAACTTAATCCCAGGGATAAAACTTGAGCAATTTTGAATATCAATCACATGCCCTCTTGCTCCACCACACTTCCTAATAGTAGTGTTTTAAGCATTATGAAATAATTATTTTTAATTGCTATTACGTATGGAAAAAGAAAACATGCATTGAAAAAGTAATTGAGGCAACTTCATGAACATAACTACATCAATCAACATTAAATTTCACCCCAACCATGTAAAGTAAAGAATACTTTTAGACCTAGCAATCCATAGGGAAGATGAATCAGGCCATATGCTTTTTTTTGCCCTCTATTAGTTAGGTACCCATTAGAGCTGAGTGGACTCAGGGATATTCAACTGACTTGGACCCTGATTCGAATTCGGGACTTTCAGGTTAACAGCCTAGCGCTCTACGTCTTAGGCCACGATGTTCCCTCCCCAACTATGTAGGCTTCAAAAAAATATTTGGGACAGAATTATGATTGTGATATGCTAATCCATGCCTCAGAAAGATCCTGCGAATTCACTGGTCTAAACCATCATAAATGATGTTCTATGGCAACGGACAAATCAACTGCCAGCTGAAGTGGAGATCCTCCAGAGAAAATGGAAATAGATTGGCCACACACTCAGGAAGCCTGTATCCAGCATAACAAGACAGGCCCTCACATGTAATCCACAGGGCAGGAGGAGGAGAGGCAGACCAAGAAAGACCTGGAGATGTGACCTGGAAGAAGACACCAAGAAGATTGGATACACTTGGGGACAGTTGGAGAGACTAGCCCAGGACAGAGACTTCTGGAAAGCTCTTGTCGGCGGCCTATGTCCGAGGAGGGACGACAGGCAAACCTAACCTAACCTATGGTTGTGACCCCTACCCTTTTATATACATTTATAATTATTCCCCTAGCTTGACTTTGTCTCAGCTCCACCTTATCCACACATAAATGCATCATTATTTTAAAAAATGGAATGTATTTACAAAAAGTATGATCTTAAACCATCTACCATAATCCTTTTCTTCTGTGATACATTGGTCCCAACCTTAGCATTTGAAGATGTTTGTAAATGATGAACAAATGTCAAGTAAACAGGTAGAATTACTAACACATAATACCTCTAATAATAACAGCTATATCTACTTGATGAATAATTGTGAATGGTTCAGCAAGACATTTCCTTTTTTTTTATAAATAAATTATGTTCCTGACTATTCTGGTTGTATCTTCAACTGTTTATTTCTTTTGTATAAAGATTATGCATTGTTTAAATTAAGCGAGCTTTTGTTCTTGTTATGAACCATGTAAGTCACTTAACAGTATGAAGAGTAACAAATGAAAACGTACACAGTTCCCAAGAAATTTGAACTTGTAGTTTTATAGGTCTATGAGTAAATCCTAGCCCATAGCCCATGAAAATGTAAATGTAACAACTTTTTTTTAAATGTTGTCTTCAAAAATTACAGCACTCTAGAATAATTATTCATATATTTTATTTATTTTTGGAGCTAGGGTAATTAGCAGCATATTCTGTAATTCGTTTCAAATTCCATTTTAAAAAAACAGTTATTCTCATCATATTAATTTTTAAAATAGGTCTAATTTGTTCCTTATGGCTCTATCAGTTTTCGGGTTTATTTTACAGTATAAGCAGGGACGTAACTGTACTTTGGCAGGTACTCAAACTCACGATTACGCCCCTTGTATTAATCGTGTTGTTTTGATATTAATTTTTTTTACGCTCCTTCATCAATCGGCATCTGAACCGTAGCTGCAAACACTAGAACCCACTTCCATTTCGCTACTGTCTGTAATACTAGCCTATACACAGTAGGCTGTTGCACAATAACATTTTTAAATGAATCATTTATTTTTTAGGATCTCATATTTTCTGTTAAAAGTTTTAAAAAGCTTTTTTTTAATCGGATATTATGTAACTATATTTTTTTAAAGAAATTTCTTTTAAGGATCTCTTTTCTTCGAGACTGAAATCGTCCTCAGTCCCTCGCCAACAATGTCCATCTCCAATGATTGGGTATTTCCGGTCGAGTCGCTCTTGGAGAGATTGAGCTCGTTCTTCTGCCCATCGCCCGGTGGCACGCCGTGGAGTTTGGTCTTGAGCAGAGTCCGGATCTGGCTGCTGTACAGCATGTGGCAGGTGAAGATGACCATACCCTGAAAGACAAGAAAAGACCAGATTGGAATATTATTTTAACAAAGCTAATGGAATTTTTTTATTTGTTTATTTCAATAATGGCCGTGCTGTTAAAGCAGAGGCGTAGCCACCCTTCCCGGCGCCCGGGGACAAACTTTCGATGTGCACCCCCCCCCTCGAACTTTTCATTTGCACCCCCCCCCCTCAAACTTTCGATTTGCACCCCCACCCCCTCGAACTTTTCATTTGCTCCCCCCCCCCCTCAAACTTTCAATTTGGCGCCCCCCCTAAGGTCGGCGCCCGAGGACATATGTCCCCCGCCCCCCCCCCCGCCCTCGCTACGCCTCTGTGTTGAAGACTCCTCTTTCAATTAAATTAAGTTGATTTAAGTCTGAGGCATTGGAAAAATGTATGCCAAAACGCCTATGTAAGATGAGTAAGAACATAGGCCTTATAACTAGTCAGGCTCAACGTCCATAAATGACGTCACACTCGTAGGGGGGATGGGGGTCCGTAATTTTGTGACGGTGTGTGATAAGGGGGAGGGGGGGGTCAGATGGTGTGACGTCACTTTTTTTGCATTATAAAAAAGCAATGTTAGAAAACGAGTTTTAGCCGTTATTTCGCGTTTTAGGAAACTGTTTTTAATAAATTGTAATAGGAATTGATCTGTTGACAAGATTTTGGAAAAATATCGATGTTTTAAGAACAATTAAACAGCAGTTTTGAGGGGTATTGTAGGCTGAGGTGTGACGTCATTTTAGGGGGGGGGGGTCTGGCTTTTTGTGACGACGTGTGATGGTGTGGAGGGGGGAGGTAAAAATTGTAGAAAAAAAGCGTGACGCCATTTATGGATGACACCTAACCCTCTTTCCACTTCTGATTGTCTGCTGAGGCCATTAAAGTACCTAGTAATCAATAACTTTTATACAGGAGTAGCGATCTATTTCGGCACCCAGGACGAACTATCAATTTTGCATCCCCACCCCAAAATTAGGTCTGTATAGGCCTATATTTATTCGCGATGGTGAAATGCAACCCCACATCCCTAATATGGAAAGGTCGGGGCGCTTTTTACCAGTAACTTTTAATTTATTGTCACATAATTGATGTAGAAAACGATTAAATAAGTAAGTTCGTTATTTAAATTTCGAAAATTTCAAACGGTTATTTAATTTTAATAGGGCTTGTAGTAAGTCTCGTTTTCTCTGACTTTGAATTAGAAATTTGTCCTAGTGTACAGAGTTTTGTATGACGGGGTGTTCAATGTATTGTACTTGTTAAGTTTTGATGAATCGTTTAGATTTGGGAGTAACGGTGGAAGGCTGTAGCTTATATGGTGCCGTAGGTATAAAGTATCGAAGTGTTAAAGTGTCATAATTTGTATTCGGCTGTTTTGTAGTTGAAGGTCTAGTGGAATCTGATTGGTAATACAGAAATGAGAATGCAGGTGATGAAGTATCGTAGTTCGGCAGTTTGGGAGTATTGATTCTTGTGGTATTAAGGTATCGAATTATATTGACTGTTAAAGTGTAGTAGTAGGTCCAGTGAAATCGTTGTTGATTGGGCGAACTGCTTGTAGAGCTTGGTGAAGTTACATGTGTTGGTGTCGTAGTTCTGGAGAATCGAGTCTAGTTATGTTTAGGAATCGAAGTTTGATGTATATCAAGCAGTGTTTCTTCCAGGCTTTTTCCTCCGGGGGGTGGGCAACTTGAAATTTTCATTTCGTTCGAGGGGGGGGGCGCACCCCCCCCCCCTCCCCCGAAGAGATCCCTTGAAGAAACTCTGATATGGAGTTTATCGTTAGATTATTTCAATTCAGTACGGAACGCACTATAAAGAAAGGTAGGCGTTCTCTTGTTGAAAAATGTTTAGTTTTTTAAGAATCTGTATTACAACTCTTTAGGTATTAATATATAATATTAAATAGGATGGATTTTTATAACTAACCATAAACTTTGTTTTTTTTTTAAATTATAATTTTCTTAAATCAATAATTCTAACAATGTCTTAAACCAGGGGTCGGCAACCTGCGGCTCGCGAGCCGCGTGCGGCTCTTTTGATGTGATGCGGCTCTTCAGCTCCATGCACAAATATTAACAATTATTTTATTTTATCTTTAAAACACATACAAATATTGTTCTGCAATACTCGGCAATGAACGATAAAATAATAAACACTCGCTATACTATTAGAATATTAGAATATTTAGTTACGCCCTATTTCAATTTACTTCCTATTTAGATGATTGTTTCGAAAAAAATTTACTTCATTTTGTTGAAGACCCGGAGAGAGGTAAATTACTTTATTTTAAAAAATCTTTTTAAAAAATATGAACAACCCAACACTACTATTAACATGAATCACTTCAGCATTACTATAAACAAAATGAAGGATGGGTTCACTGAGATATTTGAGCAATTAAAAAGAAATGCAAGTACTCTGACCTTCACAGTCAAAGTAGATTCTCTCAACACAAAATTAAAAGAGATTTGGAATTGATGCTGGTTCGCTTCAAATTAAATTGCTAGATTTGAAAACCACACATTTGTGGAGCGGTAAGCTCACATATCTCAAGAGCAAGTTAGACGATTTGGAGGCCCAGAACAACATGCATGTTTCACTGTACAACTGGACAGCTCTAAAAGAAATGTCGCGAGTTTACTATTGTTTAACAAGTTGAAAAAATCACATAGTTTCAAATATGTAGCTTCTTTATTTTAGGAAAGTAGGTCTACCTTCAATATAGTAAAATAAATTAACCTTTCTTACAATGCTCCGCTCTTTTCTCGTAAACATAAATCTTAATTATTCTATACACCACAGCAATGTTGCAACTTGATAGATCTGTAGTATATTGGTTTCTTTTTGTTACTTCCAATATTTTAGTTCCAAACAAATAAGGGAAACAACTTTAAACTATGTTATCAAATTAATAAATAAACCAATACCCCAGTTGAAATATAAAACTCATGTAAATCCTTGTTGATTTTGTTTACTTTTCTATAAGTATTAATAAATGTTATGTAAAACATTTTGTCTGCCTTTAAAATGTATTGATATTAATAGAAAAAATATTTTTAATTAAATTACGAAACTCATAACTATGTACGATAACTTCGCGTAAATAAAATAAATTCCTTATGCTCAATCAATTATGACTTATGGACAGTTCGTTTTTCAAAAAATGTATAGATCTACTTTCTCAAAACTGTGATGTGGTCAGCCCCGTGGCAGTGGTTCCATGCTTTCTACTACCGAAGTGCATATTTTATTTATTATTTTCGAATATTTTCAAAAGTAGTTATTTAATTCAGAAAACATTTTTTTTTTCGAAATTGAATAGAAGTATTTATAATAAAGCTACCGTTTTTGGACTTTCAAACAAAATCTACAGTTAAGTATTCAATAAGTAAAATATATTGTTTTTACAAGATTACATAGATAATATAAAAGATTTGTTATAATTATTACGTAATGAAATTTAGAGCGTTTTATTGTGTTTTTCAAGCATGTCTTAGTTACCCTTGGTTAATTTAGCTATTCTCGTGAAAGTTATTTCCCTTTAATAAAATATTGGTATTTGGATTTTCAAACGGGAGATAATTTGTTCATTTCAAATTCTGCACCTTAGGTTGACCGCTTACATTTAAATACAACTTAAAGTTATTATTTGCTATTGTAAGAGCTTAAGTTCTAAACAAAATAAGTAGTTTTTTTTTTAGCTTTATCAAGTTGAAAAACAAATGCATCAGTAGCCGTTATAGATTGCTATGCTCAATGTTAGTAGACATACAGATTTAGTCGTAAATTAAACATCTAATTAATTGTCTTTTCATATTTTTCACCCTCTCCTAAAGGATTCATATATTTAAAAAATTTAGGCTAGAATGTATATATATATATATATATATATATATATATATATATATATATATATATATATATATATATATATATATATATATATATATATATATATATATATATAACCTTTTATTTTTCAAAAACAAAAAAAAAGTTACATAATCCCACACTATAGACATTTTACAATTATAATTAAAGTCAGTCAAGCTTAAAATTAAAACAGGTAATTTCCGTTTTAAAACTTACCTTGGGAGGACTGCAGGGAGCCCAACAATACAAGAACTTTATTTGATTCAGTGGTTTTTTCCAGACTTTTTTTTTACCCGTGAGGGGGGGGGGAAGCACTTAAAATGTTCTAAGTGGGGGGGGGGGGCTAAGTCGTAAAGTACAAAGTAAACTCGTGCACTTAACAACAATTTCAATCAAATGTGATTACGCTTGCAAGTTGGAATTGAAGGAAATAGTACAAACTGTTGAGACGAAGGAGGCAAGTAAAAATTGATTTTGATGTCTATTGATAACGTGTATGACTTGACTTACTTGACTTAGTCCTCTTTGCTCCTTATGGAGCATAGGGCCTCCACCATTTCCTTCCATGTCTTCCTATCCTCGGCTATTAATTTTGACATTTCCCAAGACATCCCTATTGGCTTCAGTTCTTCAAGAAGACTCCGCCTCCAGGTCTGTCTTGGGCGCCCTCTCTTCCGCTTTCCCTGGGGGTTCCACTCAAGCGCTTGGCGTGTAACATTTGTGTGAGCCTTTCGCAGTGTGTGACCCACCCAGCGCCACTTCCTCGTTCTTATTTGCACACCTATAGGCTCCTGCCTAGCTTTCCTCCATAGTTCCAAGTTCGGCACTTTGTCCTGCCATCTCAGTTTCAGTATCTGTCTAAGGCATCTATTCATGAAGGTCTGTATCTTTGCTGTGCTTGCCTTGGAGACTCTCCATGTCTCTGCTCCATACAGCAGAACTGCCTTGACATTAGAGTTAAATATCCTAATTTTTGTGGTAATGGAGATGGCCGAACTTTTCCATATGGGTCGCAGGACTGTGAAAGCGTAGCGGGCTCTATTAACTCTAGCGCGTATGTCCTCCTCTGTGCCTCCCGTTTTGCTGATCTTGCTGCCAAGGTAGACAAACTCTTGCACATCAT